TCAGGGAAAGGAGTGCTATATTTACACTAGTTTTATACACAACCGTCCGATCCCAATTCGAACCCTGGTCCACAAAGTGAGGGGTGGCAGGTCCAAGGGAGAGAGATTATGTGTCTACTGAACCAGACAGCCTCCCACCCCCAACCGCAATAGGTCCAATTTCAAGTCCACCTGGTGAGGAAGGAAAGGTTAGGAACGCAGACACTCATTTCCAAACAAGTCTCCCTTGGGAATTCCTGCCTTGAAGTGGGGACAATATCCACACTCCAGGGGATAGGCTGAGGACACTGAGGCTCTGTTCCCAAGTCATGTTGTCATTCGGGAGTTCCAGCCTATAGATGATGATGATATCAGGGCTCTCCAGATTTGGGAAGCCCCCCTAACCTCCGGGACTCTGGCCGCAGTTCCTTGCATTTCTGGCAATAAAAGAAGTCAGGGACATTGGTCTTCTTAATCTTAGCACAGGAGAGGTGGATCCACGTCCCACACAGGCTGCACTCAATCATGGGGCGCCCTGCAAAGGGCTTTCGGCAGTAACACGTGATCAGATCCCATGAGTCATCACCTGGGGAAAAGAAGGTTGGTTTGGTGTTCTGCCTGAGCTCTGGGATCTTCAACATACCCCACAAACCCATACTCCGATGCCCGAAACCTCTCACCTGATTCTACCATGATGTCTTCATCCATGACCCGCATCTCCCCTTCACTGGAGCTGGCATCTCCGTCTTGGCTCGTTTCAGTGCTACCCACCTCTTTGCCTTCACTGTCTGTGGGAGGGGCTCCTTCAGGGTGTACTACAGCAGGGGGCCTAGGGGCTTCAGGGGGCGTTGGGAGCACAGGGGCTGGGGCTTCACCACCAACTACTGCTGCCATCTCCTCCTCCTCTTCTTCCTCTTCCTCCTCCTCCTCCTCCTCTTCAGAGTCTGTATCACTGGGGGGTGCCCGAGGAGGCCCAGGAGGTGGGAGTCTATCCCCCCGGTCTGCTTTTTTCAACTTCCGTTTCTTGCTCTTCTTGATACGAGACCTCTTTTCCCCATCCCCAGGAGCTGGCCGAGGCCTTCGAAGAACCCCAAAGCCAGCCCCACCTACTGGTCCCAACTTTCGGTTCTTTCGGTCCTTCTTTCGAGGAGGCTGGGAGAGGTCCCCTTGGGAAAGGGGCACAGGGGTGAGAGCAGCAGGGGGCCGAGAGGTATGTGTTAGGGATGTGGGGGATAGTGGAGTTGCCACTTTGGGCCCATCCAGATCAAAGAGAGAGTCCTTGAGCTTCATCTTCTCAAGCAGGGTGGCACTGTCAGGGGCCTGCAGACGAGAGAAAGTGGACCTTGGGGGTCCTGGATGGGTGGGACCTGCTTGAGCTGCCCTTCTTTTGGATGACTTTGCTTTCTTAACAAAGGTCTGGATGGTACGAAGATCTGAAGGGGCTGAGTCCCAGCCATCACTGTCTGCTGCACTCTCACCTCTCAATGGAGAGCTAGAGCCAGAGGCTGGCCAGTCACTTTCCTTAAAAAGAGGGAGACCACAGTGAGCAGGAACCTAGTATCACCTTAGCCCTCCACAAACCTGCCCTGAACAACAGGGATTAGAATAAGCCCAAATATTTCACCCTAACAACGAAATCTCATTGTACTCAAGATTTTTCACTCCAATTGCTACCAGTTCTCCTCATGGCAACCTTATTGCTGCCGGAAAGTTCTAGGCATCCCAATTCTCCCTGCCCTGGCTTTAGAACACTACCCCCTCCCCAGTCCAATGCTGTTATTTTTTTTCTCCGAAACTGGGAATCAAACTCAGGACCTTGTGCTTACCAGGCAGGCACAGCTCCGCTGAGCTACATCCCCGGCCCCGAAGCTCTATTTCTTTAGCCTTGTTCCTTTACAGCCTCAATTGTTACCATTTCCAGTTCCCTAAGGTATACCTATAAACACTTTTTATTAAAGGAACAAAAAAGATTCCAAATTCTTGGCCAATGCTTCAAAATCTCCTCTATCACTTCTACTCAAGTCAGCATCTACTGCCCTGCCCGCCCCCCCCCCCGCACGGCTTCTATTCTCTCACCCTACTCCAGCTTTCCCATCACAACTCTTAAGAGCTTCCAATTTCCCTAACACAAATCACTTTAGGTACTGCTTCTCCAAAGTAATACAATCCTGCCTCAAATTAGTTGTTCTCTTATTCCTACCTCTTTGCTAGGGGGGATGTAGCCAGCATAAGCCAAGACAAAACTGCAGAATTTGTTGAAATCCTCAATTGTTCTCCGGCGTTTCTCTGGTGGCTAGAAAGGAAGCATGGATCCCACTGAAGCCAGACACAAATTTAAGAGGGCGTCTAAGCAGGAGGGGAGCATTGTCAGGTAGTGTTACTAGCCTACGCAGGCAAGGGACGTCTTACCTGAGTCTCTGGCTTAAGAGTCGGAGGTGGATCTGTGGAAGCAATAAAAGCTTAGTCAAGGGACTAGGAAACAAGGTGTGTAAAATCCTACCTCTGAACCGTGGAGGTCCCAAATAAACCCCTTCTCTTCCAAGTCTCGGCCTGGCCAGCAGGCCCCCAGCTAGCCTGGACCCGCCCCTGCTCCCCCTTCCACCCCGAGGGGCGGAGCCTGGGCGCGGCGCCCTCTTGGGCCTCGCTATAGCGCTCCCCTTCCCCCAACCAGAGGCCGAGCGCCCCGCCCCCCCTCACGGCTTCTCCAGTCTACTCGGATCTCTCAGCGCCCCACCCGCCATACCGCTCCCGGGGCCGAGCTCGAGCCACCGCCCGCCCCCGTCCTTCACACGCGCCCAGAACCCCGAGTCCCTACCCAGCCGCACTCCACCGCCCCGGGCCATCGGAGATCGCACACGCAGCCCGCCGGCCCCCAGGGTCCAGGATGACCACGCTGAGCCGCTCCCCGCCCTCCGGCCCCTTCTACTCGAGCACGAGGCCGGACGCGCCCCTCACCCCCATCACAAACACACGGGCACATACACTCAAAGCTAGCTACTTCGCGTCCGGGACAGACCTGAGAGCTCGAACCCGGACGCGGCCCCACCTGCCCCCCCACCGCACCGCGCTCCCCACAATTTCGCCGTCCCTCCGCCCCCATCCGGGGCTTTGGCCCCTCCCCGTCTAGAGCTCTCGGGCTCCCCGCCGGGCCCCCGGGCCCTGTTCCGAGCTCTCCCTGCCCCCGGCCGCCGCCCCCCCGCCCCCGTATTCACCAAGTCGCCGGGCTACGGACCCAACTCTAGCCCCCTCCCCTCAACCGGCTACTCTACGGCAGTCCCCGCTGCCTTCACCCTCCGCAACTCCCTGGCTCTAACCCTTGTCGACCCCCCCCCCCGCGCGCGCGCGCAAGTAGCCGGTCTTAACCCCCCCACCCCGCCCCACTGCCCCCTACAACTACCCAGCTCGCTTTGCTTCCCGGCTTTCTCGCCCCACAACTATACCCGAGTACAGGTTTCTCCACCACAGACAATACCAGACCCCCTCTTCTCCCCACAACTACCTGCCCACTCTTCCTAACAATCACCAGGCTATCTCTGGCGGCAACTACTAGGAGCGCCGGCACCACCGTCACAAACTCCCCCACCTCGGGCAACTACTGGGCCCCTCACTCCTCTGCTGCGTTCTCCCTCCTCAACTCTCCTGCACCCAGATTCCCCCAACCGCCCAGCTCCTGGGCCCCAACCAATGCGAGGCCCTTTTGGCCCCTAACCCCCGAAGCTCAGAGTTTCCAGCTCCTACCCCCTGCCCCCCACACACAGTGCCTGATCTCCAACTATCTCGACCCAGTCTCCCACTCCTTTCTCTAACGTCTCTCAACTAGTCGCTCTCCCACCTCCAGGACCAGGCCCCCGACCCTTCCCCGCACTCTGCCGCTGAGCTCGGGGCTCGACCTCCAAGTTTGCCAATTGATTCATCGCCCGCCTTCCGTCTGCCCTGAGCCGGTCGAGAGCTCACCTTCGGGACTGGGTTCCGCCATGGCTTCCAGCATCGCCCCCTCCCCTCCTCCCGGTCCGGCGCCCCCCTCCCCTAAACCAAAGATCCCGGTGCTGCCTCTGGTGTTCGGTACTCCTATTGCCTCGCTGCACAGCAGTGTCTGCTTCGACCAGGTTAAGACTTCAGTCCGCTAGCCGCTGCCGCCACCACCCTTTACCACCGCCTCCCGCACTCCCGGACCGGGCCCCCTCCCCCCGCGCCGCCGGCCGCCTGTTCCCTCCTCCTCCCTCCTCTCTCCTCTTCTTCCCCCTCCCCGGCGCCGACGCGCAGTGCACCAAGGGGTTTGTAGTTCCTCCGTGGGCAGCGGAAAGGGGAACGCGTGATTCTCCGGAACCTCAATTCCCAGCAAGCCACAGGATGGCGCAGGCGCAATAAGCCGCTCCCTGCCTCCCGGGAGTGGCGGGGATATCGGGAGAAAGGGGGTAAGTGGAAGAGCGCGTACAGGTTCCTGGGAAATGTAGGCTGGGCGGGACCAAGGAAGAAGGGATTAGAACTCTGGGCCACCGTAAGGCCTCATTCTGCACCTTCTTTCTTCCCGGGGGAACGCCCCACTTCCGGCCAGGCGGAGAAATGATTACTGGGAGATGAAGTTCCCTTGATGATAATGGCTCCCTCCTCCCAGTCTTCCACCCTGGGTTTCCACTTCACTGGCTCGCACATGCAGGGACAAAGTCTGCAAGTGACATGCAACTGAAGAGTTCTTTTACCGCCTCCTACACATGAACATCTCTTCCTTAATCCAGAATGACAAACTAGGTTATCTAAAAAGACTTCCAAACTTTCTCCACAGGAACTCACAGTAAAAAAAACTAGTTTTTACAACAGAACCCAATACACATATATATAAAGCTAGTATTTCACTCACAATATAAATGCACTTTGTTATGCAGAGAGGGAACTGTCTATCAACAAATAAATAAAATATATCTCTATTCCTCCAACCTACACCGGCTCTTTCTCTTTCCACACCACTGAAGCCCAGGATACCTTTGAAACTAAAAAAAAGAGGGAGACAACACAAGGCAAAATTCAGTTCAATTGGTGGTTTCCTCTTTATTGATATGATTCCTACTCCCTCCCCCACAATTTCAATCCCTCTCATTACCCCCAAAAAAGAAGGTTGTGAAAGGGATTGTTGGGGTTCTCAACTCCCTGGACAGTTAGAAAGGGAAGAGAAACCAAAACAATCACTGGGTGTGACAGAGATTGACAATCAAGAAGTATAAAGCACAGTGGGAAAGGATGGTAAAGAAAGGGGAAGAAAGGAGAGGTACAAAAGGCCATGTCCACTATTACCCCTCCTGCTAAGAGGGGCTGGATAGAAAGCCTTAATCTTTTAAGAAGTGCAGGTCCTGAAGAAGGGAGGTGATGTTTGAGCTTGAAGGAAGTGAAGATCAGGGAAGGGGTGCCACCTCTCTCTTCGTAGAATGGAACCCCCCATCTCAGGGGTAGCAGCTTCACAGACCGTAGACACTTTCATCACTGTAGGCAATGTAGAGAAAGAAGTCTTCTTCATGGTGTTCCTAAGATGAAAACAAAAATCCTGTTCACACAACACCCCTCAGTAACTTGAACCACACTCACCATCTAGACACATTCTTCAAGAACCAATTTTTTTTTTTGGTACCGGGAATCAAACTCAGGTCCTTGCACTTGCGCAGCAGGCAGTGAAACCACTGAGCTAAATCCCTGGCCCCAAGAACCATTCTTTTTGTTTGTTTTTTGGTACCGGGGATCGAACTCGGGTCCTTGCACTTGCACAGCAAGGAACTATTCTTTTTAAAGTCTACCTCCCAACCCCAACCCATCCCACCACCAAAGTGCCCCACTGACCAGACCCTAGCAGTCAAACAGTATTATCCCTGCAGCAGTCCTGAGCGGAAAGATCTCAAACTGCTCTCTGACACCTTGGAACGGGAAGAGGAACCTGGATATAATCTCCATCAAAACAGTTTCTCCAGCTTACTGGTTTGGTCTCTCCCTTCTCTCTACTTTGACTGCTCTGTCCAAATACCAATCCAGGACAATCATGAAATTTTACGGCAAGCATGCCAGTTGGTCGAAGAACTGGTGACCTAGTACTTTCTTCCTATCAAGCTCTCCCAAGATTCCTCTCCACTACTTCCTAGGCACCACACCTGGTATAGCTGACCCATTGTGGCACTGGTGGGTGGAATGACATTGTTGACAAAGAAAAACAAGGCGTCCTCAGCTCGGAGATGAATCCGCTTCCGGATTAAGAAGTAGAACTGACCAACTGCCAAAGATATAAGATGCAAGAAAGTCACAGAGATCATAAACGCCTTCAGAAGATCTGCTGGTAGGTGGAGCCCCCGCCCCGCCCCCCAGCACTAAAGGCACTCCCACAGGAAGCAAATTTGGCTCTTGGGTCAGGTTCCCACCTGTGAGATCAGAAGGCACCAGGTACTTCTTTTTGTCCAGGTCCCCTATCCGAGCTTTGGGAGCCTTTTCTACTATCACCTGATAAAAGAGGAAATAAAAATTAGTTGACATGGGCTGGGGATTTAGCTCAGTGGCACCGTGCCAGCCTCGTAAGCACAAGGTCCTGAGTTCAATCCTCGGTACCAAAAAAAAAAAAAAAAAAAAAAATTAGTTGACATAAGGAATACAGCCCATAGCTCTACTTGTCAAGAACTCAAGGTATTATATTCCCAGTACTTACACCTACTCCAGACTCACTTCTTTGTCTCTGTACACGAGGTGTAGCAGTAATTCCAGAGATACTGACCCCACTTGGCTTATCTAAATATCCAGGATCAATCCCTGAATGGCGAGTCATGATAAATAACTACCTTAACCAGAGAAGCCTGATGACTCCTCTGGGCCGACTACAGAGTCAGTGTTGAAAATCTAGCTAGCTAGGAAAATGACCATGTCTGTGACGCTCAGCCTGTCAAAATTTAAGGTCTCCACTCAGGATTGCCAAAGCTTCTCTCTCTCCCATCCACATCCACTCTCCCCCAGCTCTACTGCTACTCCATTCCTTTCAACCCCTAGTCCTAGGAATAGCAGTTTCAGGGTCACTCCCAGCCCCACCACAGATGGTAGCCTGACTCCCGCGCGTAGGTCCCAGATCCAAACCCAGACTGCGGCGTCAGCGTCCCTTGCCGCGGCCTTAGCTACTGTCCTCACCGGAACCCGGTCCGGATATTTTTTTCGGATCTTCTCGCCCTCAGAGCGGCGCTTCTCGAACGGATGCTCCTCTTTGTACACGAACTTCATCCTCCCGGGAACCGGGTTGGACCGAGCTAACCTGAGGAAACCCGGGAGGGGGGGCCGGGACAGGGGGCGGCGGTGATAGCAGCGACGAACGGGCGGACTCAGCGGAGCGATCCACGAATTTGCGCCACTTCCCTATTCACCAACCCCACCCCCGACCTTCCCGACCTTCCCCTCCTGCTAAGATACGCCAGTAGCCCGGCAGCTAACGCCGCTATCGTAGCACCACCCACTGTCCGCCCCCCACCTCACGTCATTAGCGTAATCGCTTTGGAATCAACTTGCGGGCTGCGCAGGCGACGTAGCAAAGGAGGTTGGCTTTTGTTATCGGTGATAACTGAAAATAACTGAAAACCATTTCTCGATCTGTCCCTCCCCACGAAGGTAGAGATGAAATGGGTTAGATGATAATCATGAGATCTGGTTCTCCAGAATTTCTTTGCGAAAACAGAAAAGGTGAAACAATTACAGGCTATTCACGAAACGTGTTGCTACGCAGAAGGCGGCCGTTGACACCAAAACAAAGTAGTACCCAAGTGGCAAAGATGGACTCAAACTATGAAAGAAAACATGTTTGGACAGACGTATAGAACGCCTAGGGTCTAGGAATAAACGGACCAATAGGAACTGGCGATAAGGTCCCATCGGAAGGGACTAGGCCATCGCGGAGGAATACTTTCAGGATTTGTAGCTGAGAAATCATGTGATATGAAAGGGCGGAGCGTCACGTGGCGGGCGTGAGGAAGTAGAGCCGGCTTGGGGAGGCGGGGCTGCGGCGGGAGCAGAGAGAGGATCGCCCGCCCCGCCCCCGACCTGGAGGCCGGGATGTTAGCCGCCTGGGGGCAGAGCTAGTGCAGACAGTCCACGTCAGTCCTCAGAAAACCCAGCCTTTCTCTAGCCATAGGCCTTTTGTGGCGTCCAGGTTTCTCCTTTCATTCTGCATCCTACTGCTGATGCTGTCCTTATACTCCTCTCTAGAGCACTCATCCTGTCACCCAGGACTTGTCCCATTAAGGCGCCTGGTGTTACCTGTTCACTTCTCCGTGTCCCTGCTCACCACCACCTTTCCTCCTACCCCCAACAGCAGTATTTCCCTTTGCCTCGGGGAAAGGGTGGATTGTGAACAAAGTCCCCTCCCTTCATTTCCCAATACCCCAGAGAAGGACCTAGGGCAGCTTTGGTTTCAAAGTTATAATGCATGATTTAAAAGAGAGGAAAGGAAAAAGAGCTGGTTACAGGCCTGAGGGAATCTAAGAAGAGAAAAACACAGGGAAAGTAAGGGAAGGAGAAGTTTGGGGAAGATCCAGTGGCCCAAAATCCCAATCTCCCACCCACAGCCCAGCCCTTGGAGCAGGAGTGAAGAATTTAGATCAATTTTGTACAAGAGTTTTTAAAAAATCAAATCACAACAAAGCTGAGTTGGCTTCTCTTTGAGCCTCCTGGATCACTGTATGTGTGTCTCACTCCAGCCAGTCCTGCCTCTCCACCAGACACTCTTTCGGCTGTCCATGGCCTCCGCCTTCCCAGTCTGGGGTTTCCATGGAGTGTGAACACGAAGTTAGTGAGGCTGCTTCACAGTCTGGCCCATGTGTCCATCCAGACTCCAAGTGGAGTGTAGGGCTCCCAGGGCAGAGAGGATTGGGAGAGGCAGACCCTGCCCAGGCAGTCTTCACATTGGACAGGGCATCAGCCGGCATCCCAAGGGCTCACCCTCTCTTCCCCCCCACCCCAACTCAGGTGGAGGGGGAGCAGCTGTCACCACAGCCTATGTTGGTGAAGGTTTCGGCTCAGCACGGAACGAACATCAGCGGTGAACCTGGGATGACAATAATGTGCATTGGTGGAGTACCTTATAGTTGACTTGTTCACAGCACTAGGACACAGCAGGCCTCACTGGAGATATGGAGCAGCATTTATCACCACTTTCACATGATGGAGATAGGTTCGGTGTGACCAAAACCCAATGGCTAAAAGTGATGAGCTTTGGAGAACAACCTGGTCCAAACTCTTATGTTCTCAAGGGAAGAGAGGTTGATAAACAGGACAAACATTTTTATTCTCTTGGGATCCCCCCACAACAACCTTTCCTCAGAAATCCAAGAGCCTGATTCCCTTACCTGAGGGCGTCCAGCATTGGGAGCAGGTTGAGAAGGGCTGTGTCACTGGGGTCACTGAACCAGGATTTGATGGGGATGGCATTGTCTAAGGTAGGTGAAAATACACGTGAGAAACAAGATTCAGGAGCACCTTGGGTTTCCACATATTTCTTTACTTAAAAATCTTTTCCTTCCAAGCTAGGCACAGTGGTGCATGCCCATAATCCCAGCACTCAGGAAGCTGAGGCAGGAGGACTGCTCTGAATTTAAGGCCAGCCAACCTGGGCTACATAGTGAGTTTAAGGCTAGCAGGAACTACACTGCAAGACCCTATCTCAAGACACCAAAAACAACACCTTTTCCATCTCCAACAGCCTAAATAAACAACTTCCTCATTTATCCTCACAAGAAAAATTTTTTTTTAATTTTTTTGGTAGCAGGGTTCAAACTCGGGACCTTGAGTTTGCAAGGCAGGTGGTGGAACCACTGAGTTAAATCCCTGGCCCTAAAATTAAATATTAATCACCAGATCTCATACTAGTGTGAAGCTTCTAGTCAAACTTACTGTTGTGCCTCACTTGAAACATATTTAATATCAGATGTCTGATTTATGAAATGGACAGATAGGGGAATGTCTCATTTGAAACAGAGAAATAACTTGCACTTGGACCTACACTACACCACCTCTCAAGAACCAAGGCCCTCGTCTCCTGTGTCCTACTTCCCTGCATTCAAAATATGTCCTCAAGAATCGGGGGATGGAGTTCAGAAGTGGAACACTTGCCTAGCATGCACGAAGTCCTGGGTTCCATCCCAATCACCACCAAAAAACCCCTCCACAGACCACATCCTGGTCCTGCCACACTCACCACCTTTCCCCATACCTGGGTGGCTCCTGTATGCCCCTGGGGAGTTATCCAGAATCACAATGCTGGAGAGGTCACTGTGGACCACAGAGAGGTCCTTGATGTAGCTGCCCAACTCCAAAGTGCAGTGCTGGAAGGCAGGGGATTATGCAGTACGCCTCCTCCATGCCTCCTCACACCCCCTCTCCAGGGCAGTTACCTCAAACCCAAATCCCTCCCTGGTGGCCTGCCTCCCAAGCTTCACTCTAGACCTGGATTCTAGTCCCTTACCTGCCTGTAGTATCTTCTCTTGAGAATGCTTCTGCTATTATCCAGTTTATCTGCTACTGCAGAGCCGTAAATCTCCATGCTTGCTGTAAACACCACCAGCTCATACCACTGGCTCACCTGAAACAGATTAGGGGCAAAAGAGGTGTCCTATGAAATGATCATTCATTTAGCTCAGACTTCTCTTTCAGCCTAGTCTTTCTGGCCTTCTGGCAACATCAAATGTCTCTGGGTACACAAAATTCTGCACCCCCTTCCAAACCTCTAAACTCAAGGGTCTAAGGAATCCTACACCCTTACAGTATAAAAATGGAAACACAAAAAACCAAATGCCTGTAGAAAAAGAATTACATCAGTACCACAAATGAACCCTGCCTACTCAAAGTCATTCCCTGTCTTCCTATAGCCTCTCCCTCTCCAAAACTACCACCACCCATTTCTCCTCACCCCTTCTTCTAAATCCCCTAAATTCCCAGAGCTCTGTTCCCAGTCCTTCACAGAGCTTCCTTTAGCATTTACACACTCACCACTTCTAAGAAGAAATCCACATGGGGCCTCTTATGTACAAAAAACCGAACAGGATGTTTGTCTATCACCACCTGCAGAGGAACAGGAAAAGACTGGGGAAAGTCTTGGGCACCAGGACACAGGCCTAGAGAACACTAACCCCCAGGGGCCACTGCTCTCTTTCAAGCTGACACTGGTGCCAGAGCTTGAGAACCAGATGCTCTTAGACTGGGAAAAGGAGCTTGAAACTAGACACAGTAACAGATGGAGCCATTTCATCACTCCCCACCCCAACACACCTTAAGGATGAAGTCAGGAGGCGTTCCAGGCCGCACAGTGGGCCTCAGGACCCCATCATGATGGGAGTGAATAAGTGTCTCATCCAGATCCAGTACCAGGATCTTCCTTTTCACCTGAGCTGAACCACAATGGAAAGGGATAATGAACTGACCTCCAGACAAAGCTGAAATCCTACCTCAACATCAAGGAGTCTTCCCAGGCAGCATACTCACCTAGCCGATTCCGGGACACAGGAGATAAAGGGAGGATATCATATCGAACAGTTTGGTACTGAATTACCTAAAGATAGCAAGAAAAAAGATTAGAACTCTTTGATGAGGAAATATTCCCCAGTAACAGTAGCAGGTAGCAAATATGCTGGGCACTACATGATTTAAGATTATTTCATATAATCTCTAAAATAATCATAATAGAGCTGGAGGAAAATTCAGTAATAGAGCACTTGCCTAGCATATATGAAGTCTTGGGTTCAATCTCCAGCATCACCAAAACAAAAAATAATCCTAGTAATAATAAATAATAATATCACCCCATTTTAAAGATAAACCAAAGCTTGGTAGAGTTAAATACCTTGCCCTGAGTCCGCATAACTACCTTTATTTTATTTGTTCATTTCCCCAATTAGAATGAAAGCTTCATGAGAGCATGAATGTTGTCTCAATCATGGATGTTTTCCCAGTGCCTATGACATTATAGCAAGGGTGGTCAGTTAATATTAGTAGAATCAATGAAGTGGTAGAGCCTGGATTATTCCCATGCAGACCGATGCTAGAACCTGCCCTCTTAACCAAGACATTATCTTGCTTGCTGAATAAAGAAACGTGTGGGTCCTCACCTTCACCCCAAGGATATTTTTTTTTGGTACCAGGGATTGAACTTGGGACCTTGTGCTTTCGAGGCAGGCGCCGAAACCACTGAGCTAAATTCCCTGGCCCCCACCCCAAGGATTCTTTATGGCAATTCCCAAATCTTTTAGGAACCAAAAGCCTCACACCCTTAGTGGACAGGAAATAGGAATCAGAGGAGATCCTTGGATCACTAAGGGGTAATAGAGGATGAGGGAATCCAGAGGTTGTCAAGTCATTTAAGTTCTTCTGGCTGAGGGCCACGAGGCTTATTTTAACCAGCCACCTGTCCACTTGTGTCTCTCTTAGCCAAGTCACAAGTTGCAGAGAACCTCACCCCTCTAAACAGCCTCCTTATCCTGGTACCCAGGGCAAGGCAGAGAACACTGGAAAGCCCCACCTGCTAGGGTGACAGACAGGGTATAGAAAAAGCCAAAGTGAAGTAGGGCTATGAGAGGTGAAGAAGGGACAAGGACATCACCACCTCAGCCTTCTAGCTCTGCTTCTGCAAGCCTTCTCTAAAGGCTATTTCCTAACACTCAGATCTCCCCACACAAAGCCTAGCTCCTCTTCTCTTTTATTCTAAGGTACAACCACTCTTCAGTCTGTGCCTAGGCCCTAAACCACATCAGACCCAGGCTCCCCCTTTGCAAACCAAAAAGCTTCTCCCCCTTATCCCAAGGCATCTTGCCCTTCTTTTCTCTCTGGGCCATTATAGGGGATGCAATGAGGACTGAAACAGCTCGGGTGTCCTGCCCTGCTATCTCGGGTTGCATATGCTGGGCATGTAGGGAATGCTCCAAGCATCTGCCAGAAAAGGAGTGGGGGAGAAAACCACATTGGAAGGGAAGGGAGGACAAAAGGCTGTGGGGTCAGTGCTGTCAAAGGACAGCAATTTTGGAAGTAACCAACCTTCCAGTAGATGGACTGGAGCACTACTCTACACCCAGAAAACTGATGTACTAGGGGAGAATGGGGGATTCTCAGAGCAAGGTCAGACAGAGAAGACAGCAGTCAACACAAAGTAAGGCCCAGGAACTGGCCCCACACTCATCTCTGCCTCTATGACCCGCCATTCCTGGCTCCTAGCTCTCCTATCTCAGGAAAAGAGTCCTGCCCACAACCACCACCACCCAGAACAACCCTTACCCTAATCCAGGAAGTAAAAGGAACAGTCTGGTAGAAAAGAGAATGAACCCAAAGCCAGGCCATTCCCCAAAACCAATTAAGTCAACCCCTACTACCACCTAGCTCTTTACGGGAATTCTCTTGACCTATATTGTCCATACTTGGTTTTATTCTTTCAGATTATACTGAAATATTCTGAAGAGTACAGATCTCTATATCCCAGCTCACTCAATTTTTCCTATATTCTTTCAGAGGATCCACCCCAATGGTGATTTGAAAAAAGGGTACATTCATTAAATTACTGTATATTAGCAGAAAGAGCTTGATCTTGGATAAAAGCTCCAGGAAGGAAACCTAGAGGTGCTTAGGTACACCCAAAAGTCTCCAGTCTCCACTCTCCACGGGTATCCTTTCACAATGCTAGATCCCCTGGAGAAACTAGCGCCTCTTCAGATTGCAAAGCTCTGCAACTGACTGGCCCCATCTTCTAACAGGAATGCCTAATTTTTTTTTAAAATTATTTTTGGGTACCGGGGATCGAACTGAGGACCTTGGACTTGTGTGGCAGGTGCCAGAACCACTGAGCTAAATCCCCAGCCCCAGGAATGCCTAAATTTTAACACGCTCCCTGCCACAACTAAAGATGCCCATCATGAAAGCATTTTAGGGCCAGGGGTTTAGCTCAGTGGTTTCGCTGCCTGCTGCGAAAGCGCAAGGACCCGAGTTTGATCCCCGGTACCAAAAATACAAAAATCAAAACAAATAAAAGCATTTCAGTTCTAGGATCTCAAAAGATCCATACATCCACACTCACACTACGAAGTAAGTTTCCAGGACCTTTTTTGAGGAGTTCTATTGGTGAGGCTTTCCCAAGTTCCCATCTATGTTTATTACATATGCCCTCCTACCCACCCCCACCCTTGGCACAGAAGCCTGTGTCTCCAAGACTAAGCACATCCAGAGGTTCCAATAGTAGGGTTTTTCACGAACCCACATCAACAGCTCCGGCCGCCAGCAAACAGGTGTTCCCCGCCTCTTGGTTTCTTTAGCAACAACTCCAGCTTTCTTAAAGAATGCCCCACCCACCATATTGGCCTCCAAGAGTTGCCGAATTCTGTCTCATCTAGACCCACTTACCCCCTCCCCAATCTTATTTCTATTATAAGGGTGTTCCTCCTCCCCACGCCCCGCTCACGGTATCCTAATTCTCTAGCAGAAAAAGACCCCGCCAGGACTCCTTTCCTAGGCCCGAAGGCCGAATACTTTCCGAAACCCATGAGCTCCGCGAACAGAGGTCCCCACCACCGCCAGCGCCCACCCATGCTCACCGTGCGGATCTGCCTCCGCAAAAGGTAAATGAAGAAGCTCCACAGCTTGGCGGCGAAGGCCACGAACGTACGCAGCCCCAGCAAACACTGTGTCCGCATCATCCCGATGACCCCGGCACCGCCGGCCCCGGGGCCCCCGCGGCCCAGCTCCGCCAGCCCCTTGGGGGCAGCCCCCCGCCTCCAGGAGGGGGAATGGGGACCCCGAGCGGCAGGAGAGGCTGCAGAGAAGGGCACGGAGCGGGCGGCTCAGAAAGCCACCCCTGGCGAGGGGAAAGCCCAGCAGAGCGGGGAGCTGGGGGACAGGCGTGGGCAGCCCGCGGGGGCCGACATGGGCGGGGAGTGGCACCGATGGTTTCGCCAAGGTTGCAGGCCGAGACAGGT